AAGCAGTAACCATACCAACAATGACAATGTGTAAGAACTTTTGAGCAGGTATTAGGTGCCAGTAGTGTGCCATTTTGGGTTGGACTTAGATTTATTTATACAATGCTAACAGTATACACCCTACAAGTCTGGTTGGTTTCAGTTTTTAATTTTTAAAAAAATTATGAGCATAGATTGGTGCTTTGTCTGTATGTATGTCTGTGTGAGGGCGTCAGATCCCCTGGCTACGGGAGTTACTGACAGTTGTGAGCTGCCATGTGGGTGCTGGACATTTGTATCTGGGTCCTCTAGAAGAGCAACCAGTGTTCTTCGGAGCCATTTCTCCAGCCTTGGCTTTTAGTTTAATAAGAAAAATGAAATTTAAAACTATATTGAATGGAGCATGATGGGCATGCTGTAATTCTAGCACTTGGGATGTAGAGGCAGGAGAACTTGAGTATCCAAGGTCATCCTCTGCTATCCAGTGAGTTTTGGCTAACCTAGGGTTACTTCAAACTGACCAACCAAAAACCTACCCTATTCTGAGATACCCCCTTAAAAAAAGCACAGCTCAGGAAGAGACTGGTAACATACATGTATGGGAATAACAGGCACTTGTTTGCTGTACTTGGTAGTCTATATCTATATAATTGCTATGAAGTTTAATAAAATTACAGGTGCACTATTTTCCAACTATACCTTTTATTCTTACTTGTTACTAATACTTTTCACATGTTCAAAGTGACATTTATTGTTAAATCTAGAACAAATCCCTAACAATGATATACAAAAAACAAGACAGGAGACAATCTTGTCTCAGACATGACACTCCCCCCCCAAAAAGCCACAAAATCTATAAAATGGAATTTATCAAAAAGACTTCTGCATCTCGAAAGTCACCTTTAAGAAAGTGAGGTCGGGGCGAAGATTAATATTGGATGTCATGTAAAAAGCAATTGCTCTGAGCTCAAGAGATGGCTCAGAGGTTAAGAGCATTGCCTACTTTTCTAAAGGAGGCAGGTTCAAATTCCAGCATGCACCTAGCAGCTCGCAACACTCCAGCTCCCAACTCCAGTCTCAGGAATACACTGCCCTCTTCTGGCCTCCGTTGGCTTTGCATGCTCATCCTGCAAAGGTAGACTACAGCCCAAACGCCCATATACACAAAATAAATATTAACACGTCTATGTTGAAGTAGTGACAAATATTGTTGAAGATTCAAGATTCATTAAAAACAAAAAGGTGTCATGCCAGTCGGGATGTAAAACGATGTTGTTAGTTTAGAAAAGAATTTGGCAGTTTCTTTAAGAGCTAAAAGGGAATTTGTCATATGACCTGGCAATTCTTCATTCCTAGGTCTTTACTCCAGAGAAATGAAATTATAGTTGCATAAGGAACCTTTCAAGCTTGGTCGTGGTGGTGTAAGCTTTTAATTCTAGCACTTGGGAGACAGAGGCAGATGGATCTCTGTGAGTTTGGGACCAGCCTGGTTTACAGAGAGAGTTCCAGGACAGCCAGGGCTACACAGAGAAACCAAGTCATGAAAAACAAAACAAAATAAAAAAACAAACAGAACATTGCAAAAGAATGCTCATTGCAGCAGTGCTTATAATAGCCAAGAAATGAAACCATGTAGATGTCCTTTGACTGGGAAATGGACAAACAGTAGATTGCCCATGAAATGGCTTTGAAGCAACAAGAAGCAAAATACATTTTATACTAGGAGTTCAAGGCTAGCTAGTTAGCAAGACTCTGCGTTAAAAGGTGAAAAACAAGCTAAAGATTTATAAAGACAATCTCACAACATAGATGAGCCCTGGAAACTTGCTAAAAAAAATACAGCTGCTTCAAATGTACAATTTCATATAGAATATTCAGAAAAGGAAAACCTGGCGGGAGAGAGAGAGAAAGATATCTGTGGCTACTTGAGGTTGAAAGTCAGCATAAAAGCCATTAAAAAGTGGTGGGGATGTTTTCAACTTGAATTTAATGGGGAGAACAGGTGAAGTCACTTAAAATTGGCAAATATTATCATATGTTAAACATGTATCATACCGGTTTTATTCTTCAAGTTTTATTTTATGGGTTTGATGTTTGCCAGCATGTATGTGTATCACACGCATGCCTGGTGCCTTATGAAGTCAGAAGAGGAATTAGATCCCTGGAACTGGAATTATACACTATTGTGCGCCACCATGGGGGTGCTCTTAACTGCTGAGCTATTTCTGCAGCTCAACCCAGGACTGATGCATCAGGGACACAAATCAGACTCAGGAGCTGACTGTGATGTTGACTCAAGATCCTATAGGGCTTCTTAAGTCTGAGACTCATGAGCAGCTATGCCAAGTTATTTCACCAATCAGGATTTAAAGATAGGGGATTTCCTTAGACGTGTCTCTGTTGTACATTTTATCCCATTCCCCTTGGTTGGGGTATTCAACTGTGGGAGGGGACTTGTCTAACATTCATGTCCTAATTTGTCAACCAGGATGTCAGTTACCCACATACTTGTCTACTCTGACAAGTAGGATGTCAGTTCCCAGGGAAGTCTTGGGAAATTAAATTTTACACCACCCCTACTCAAAATGGAAGTCTTATTCCAAATAGTTGCAGGTGCCTCTCTTATGTTGGGGTTCATCCCAGGGGCAGCTTATACAGGCAAATACCATAAAGGCTTCTACACAGGTGCAGGAAGCGCTGCTGGGTGGTTGGTTCGGGTCCCAGCTTATTGTGGCTAACTATACAAAGCAGTCCTACTGGCTTCTGTCGTGATTTGTTTCCAAGGGCACAAAACATAACAGAATATGTAACCAACTTGGGCTTGATAAAGTTTCCTAGTAACAGCAGAAACAACATATGAGAAAGTTTCCTTATAATATTAGTAACAGCACAAAATGGCAGGGTAGCCAGGTAATAGTTACCTAGGCTTTAACATTTTACCTAGGCCTTAACATTCCATCTAAGACTTAGTATTTAGGTATTAACAATATTAATCTTTGTGGCCCTGTTTTAAGAGAGAAAGATAAAAGCCAAAGTAATTGATCACCAGCACATGACTGGCTAGGTAATTTGTAGTGTGGCTGCATACTGTGTATATAGTGTACTTCTTTTGTAAAAGAATTTTTTCTTAAATATTTTAAAATTATTATTTATTTTTATTTTATGTGCATCGGTGTTTAACCTACAGTTATATCTGTGGGAGGGTGTCAGATCCCATTGAACTGGAGTTACAGAGAGTTGGGAACTGTTGTGTAGGGGCTTGTTGCAGGGTATTTGATCACACTGTGAACCCTGAGATTGTGTTATTTACTGAAAAAACCTGTTTCTAGTTGTGGTGTGGCTCAGCCCTTAGCACATACTTTAATGGCTCTGGATGGAACAGAGGCATGCCCTTAGCACACACCTTTAATCCTGAACAATGAAGGTACAGTTAATTTGTAGAAAGAAGCACCCATATTTGAGTGGCAGACAAAGTGACAAAATGATGAATCAGAGAAAGATTCGACAGAATAGGATATGCCCAACTCTCAGGAGGAGAGGAAAGGGAAGCTACTTAAGAGGCGGTGCAGAGAGAAGAGAAAGAGCTAATTTAACTGGGAGAATTTTACAGAGACAGGTTGAAGAGAGAACAAGCTAAACACAGGTGAAGACAGAAAGAGCCAGAGAATAAGTAGGAGCCAGAAGATTAGAACAGATTGCAAAAGATAGTATGAGTTCAAGCAGAGTAATTCAGGAGAGAGGAGAGGGGGGACAGGGGGGATGGGGTAGAAGGGGTAAAGGAGGGAAAAGGGGGTCAAGGGGACAGAGGGTAGAGGAGAAGGAGGAGAAGGGAGAGGAGAAGGGGAAAGGGGAGAGGAGAGTGGGAGAGAGGGGGAAGAGGGAGAGGAGAGAAGCAGAGGAGGGAAAGGGGAGAAAGGGGGAGAGAAGAGAGGGGGAGAGGGGGAGCAGGGGATGGGGAACAAGGAGGGAGGAGAAGATTGGATCAGTTGGCTAGGAGAGGGGTTTGAGGGTTGAACCAGCCCAACAGGGCTCAGAAAGAAGAAGAAACAGTGAGCTTATTCATCAGTTAAGTCTCAGAGGCTGAAAACATTCTAGGCCTAGATAATATTGTACAGAGGCTAGGAGCTTCCAGGACTAGGCCTAGGGTAGCAGACAGAGGCAGTAAGCCTTGGAGACAACAGTTACATCACATGAATAAAAATTACTTTTACAGACGCTGGGAATTGAACCCAGGTCTCCTGGAAGAGCAACCAATGCTCTAACCACTGAGCCATCGCTCCAGCCCTCCAAAGCGAGTTCTTCACACATGACTCGTTGCTTTAGCTGTGTCTCCACATCAGTCTGTTGCAGGTAGCAAGTACAGTCATGCTTGGCAGGTAGGCAGTATAAACTGTGCTTCAAGGAAACCACTACGTCAATCAATAAATCCATAAATCAATAAATCCATAGCCAGTAACTGGTCTTTTCTACATTATTCTACTTCATAAGCTTCAGTTTGGATTAGGAGAAAGTTCAATATATACAGTGTTTTATCATTAGTATGAAACATAGGGGAAGAGAGAATAAAGTGTATTTGAGAACGTGTTCTTACATGCTTAGAATACATCTAAGAGCATATGTAAGAAACTCACTTGCCTTTGGGGTAGGCTACTCTGTGGCTGGAGACACTCAGGTGGAAGCAGACCTTTCCCCACATATGTGATTCACTGAGTTGTTGTTGTTGTTATTATTGTTATTACAACGACGACGATGATGCTTTTTTATTGTTATTATTACAGTGTGTGTGTGATACGTGTGTATAGGGTGTGCATATTCTTTGAGTATATGTGGAGGTCAGAGAACAACATGGTGGAATGGGTTCTCTTTTTCGACTTCTCAGGGGATTGGGCTCAGATTGTCACGTTTGTGTGGCAGGTACTTTTTCCTGTTGTGCCACCTCACTGTCGCACTGGTCCACTGAATTATGAACAGCGTAAGGACCCAAGCCAACGTTGAAAGAATTGTCTATTTGGACAGAGAGGTAGGTTAGTTACACTTGATCTTTTAATTTTGTCACTTACAATTTTCCCAGTAGGGGGCGCTCTGCAAACACCACGCTGTGCTTGTTTTCCTTCACTGTGTTTTGGGGGCCTGGAGGTGGGGTGCTGAGAAGCTTACCTAGAGCCTCAAGCAAGCTTGACAAGTGCTCGGCTTCTGAGTCACACCACTGGGTTCCCCAAGCTTTTATTTTAATTTAAAAAAAGACTGAAGTTTCTTTGACAGTTCTTCCTCTCTGCTTGCCATCTCTGTGGACGTTAAGTCTAACTGTAGGGTTGGCAATCTCTCTACTGGGCTCTCTCCAAGATGCATTGCTTTGATTCTGGGTGCTGGATAGAAGGGGGAACACCTGGAACGAGAAAGACAATTTGCAACTGGTCAGGAAACCCATTAATGTTTTAAAACCTGTCTTCCTGCCTGAAACTTGGGATGAACGGACTGAATCAGAAATTCTGATTGGTTGATTAAAAAGTTAATGAAGGCTTTTAGTTTTACTTTTCTCTCTCCCTCTCTCCTCCCCTCCCTGAACTTTTTTTTTGGGGGGGGGGTTGCGGGGGCTGGAACTTTCTACTAGACCAAGCTAGCCAGGAACTCACAGGAAACCATCTGCTTTCAGAGGGCTGTAACTAAAGGTGTGTTCCACCACACCTACCGTTTAGTCTTTAGTTCTTTATGGCTGTTTTGCCTTAGAGGTGACGCTAGGTAGTGTCTAACACATTTTTGCTTATCACACTGAGGGGGTGGGTGGGTACCAGTGCCATCAGGTGGACAATAGCCAAGGGTGTTGCTGTAATGGGCAGAACAGTCCTACAGTCCTTCAGTCCTTCATCACAAAGACAGTCTGTGGATGTTGAGAGAGCTTAATGATGTGAAGAATAATGTTCAGCACCTGTGGCTCGAGGCCCTGCTCTCAGAGGACTAACAGATGCACACAGCACACAGCACCTAGCACCTGTTCATTCTTAGGTCAAGACAGTCAGTCCTGGCACCAGTGTCTTTAAAAATAGAGGCTCCACAGTCAGCTCCCCACCCCTTCTCATCCTTATTGGAGAAGAGATTTGGCAGCAGCTAGGCAGCATGCAGACCATGCAGAGGCACTGTGTGGGATCAGTGGAGAGGAATACACATACTCTGAGTCCTGCTGAGTTCACTTCTTCCTCAGTTGGTTTCCTTGGAGATGGCTGTACTGGTCATATTCCCGGTCCTTGAGGGGCTGAAGAGAACAGCGGCAGCATCAACTCATTGTTCTATCCGTCATTAAGTAATGTGAAACATAGTCACTGAATATTTTTATGAACAAAACCCTAAAATGGCTGCTTCAAAGCTCTATGAACCAAACAGGAATGAGACCGCATGGAGTTTCTTCGAGTGGCTCTCTCAGTCAGTGCGTTCTTGAGCTTTCCCCCCATGAGATCCTCATCCCTGTCCCACACAGCACACTGCATTGTGGGGCATGCCATAAGAAGCTCTTTATCACTACGGTAGCTCTCCAGATAGTTTGGCTCTAACCCCAAAGGTCTATCCCGACTGACTATGGCACTGTTTTTCTCATCTCTGTTTCTTTACCTGGTAGAGCTGTTCATTTTGCAACAGAGTCTGCTTGTCTGAAGCTGCACAAAAAAAATAGACAAAATATATATTCAAAGACAGAATGATAATAAATTGAATTATTTACACAGTAGAATTCTGAGTAGTATAAGGATTCTCTGAGCACAAGAATGAGGGCCACTTTCAAAAGTCAAAAGAAACCACACACAAGAATAGGTACTGCACAAGTCCATTTCCACAAAACTAGAACTGGACACAAACATCTCTGTGGTCAGGGGTCAGGATAGTGCTTGTGCTTGGGGACAGGTGGTGGCTGGAAGTGACCGTCAGTGGGACATCTATGGTGTTGGTAGTACTCTGTCTCTTAAACTGAGTGTAAGATGCATGAACACGTTTACTTTGTTAATTTTTTTAGATGTATTCTTGTGGTTCACTTTTCTATAGGTAGGCTTCTCCTTGAGGAACAGGGGGTGTAGGTCAGTCGGTTGTTTATCACGTGTGAGGTCATGAGTTCAATGCCCAACACTGCCTACTGCGGGTGTTATAGCACATGCTTATGAACTGGAAGCTTGAGGCCATCTTCAGCTACACAAAACTCTCCCTCACTTACTAAAGAATGTTTTCTTTTCTTCTTTTTTTTGGGGGGGGGACAGGATCTCACAATGTAGCTCTGATTGACCTGGTGTTCTCTATGTAGACCAGGCTAGCCTCAAACTTAAAGTGATCCTCTCATCTCAGTTTCCTGAGTGTTAGGATTTTAGATTGGCTTCAATAAAGAAGTTTGTTTTTTTTGAGACAGGGTCTCACTATGTAACACTTATCCGGCCTAGACCTCGATATATAGGCAACACTGGCCTTAAACTGGCAGAAATTCCCCTGCCTCTGCCTCTGGGGTACTGGAATTAAAAGTGTGTGCCATTATGCCTATCTTCAACATAGCATTAAAACAGACAGATAGATAGATAGATAGATAGATAGATAGATAGATAGATAGATAGACAGACAGGGAGGAAGACCACAGTAACTCATGCCTGTGATCTCAGTCCTTGGGAGGAACACCACGGATTTGAGTCAGCCTGAGCTACACAGTGAGTTCCAGCCAGGCTGTCTTATGATAGCCTGTCTCAACAACAACAACAACAACAGCAACAGAAAAGGAAAAGAAAAAGAAAAAGAAAAAGAAAAGGCCAAATCTTAGGCCAGGAAAATAAACTTGGACAATAAGAAATGTCTTCCTTTCCTGTGCCACAGAGACATAGAATCATAAATTATTTGCATTAGCAATATGTGCCAACTCAGTCTTCCCACTGGCTCTGTTTTGATAAGAAGGAAGGCAAGGGGTTTAGTTGGTCCTATCTCTCAGCTAAGACATACCTTTACTTCTTCTGTCTTCCAGTACATAGACACGATCCCAGGGCTTCCCACATACCAGGTAACACTGAGTTATCTCCCTAATTTATTTGTTTGTTTATTGAGACAGGTTCTCATGTAGCCTAGGCTGACTTTGAACTCACTATGTAGTCTTATATGACCTTGAACTTTGGACCTTCTAGTCTCTACGTCTCAGCTCCTGGGATTCCAGGGTTGTGACACCATGCCCAGTTTTATTCAATGCTAGGGTCTGAATCCAGAGCTTGAGCAAGCTAAGCAGGCGTTCTTCTGACTGAGCCACACCTTCAGCTCTTCCCTCTGCTTTTTCAGACAGGCTCTTATGTTGACCAGGCTGGCCTCAAACTCTGTATGTAGCTGAAGATAACCTGAGTTTCTGATTTTCTAGCCCTCATGTCGTGAGGATTGGGGTTATAGGCAGATGCTACCACATCTGGTTTATGTGTTTTTGAGATGCTGAACCTTAAGTATCCTGCAAACTAGGGAAGCACTTTACTAACTGAAGTATACATATCTCCAGGCCTCAGTCCTTTACAAATTTTATTTTAAGACGGGGTATTGCTCTGTTGCCTTGGCAGGCCTTGAACTCAGGGCCCTCCTGCCTCAGCCTCCTGAGTACGTAGGATTACAAGCAAGTCCCACCACATCTAGCTTCTTTTACCTCTTGACTGGCGAACTCCATCCTGCCCAGCAATGAAGTATACACCAACAGCAAGGAAGAAAACGCTGATGATTTCAGCAAAGAAAAAGCCGAAGATGGTGCCTATGTTTAGCTGAACACAGTTCTCACACACTGTAGGGAACAAGGCACAGGCAGGGAAAGACCTCTTTCAGGATGGGAGGCATTCTTGCATGCTTTCCTTCCTCCTGTCCACCAGCATTAATGCCTCTCTCCTGGGCAGCAGGCTCCTCCTTCCCAATTTCATCTTTGGGAAATCCCGGGAAGTTTAAATGGTCCTACAGTCAGGAACTAGGTGAAGAAGGAAGACCTGGTCTCCACTTTCTACAACCCTGCTCTCTATGCTTTCCATCAATCCCCGGTCCCCCCGCCCCCCTAACTGATTTCCCTGCTGAACTGCTCTAATCCATGAGGTCCACCCAAAGGTGAACAGGTTATACAGGGATATGTTTCCTCAAGAAGCTGCAGGCTTGTTGATTTAAAGCACAGTAACCCCAGATGCAGAGACCTAGCCACTCTTCCCACAGATCCCTGCTTAGCAGCAATTCCCACCTCGCCTTGGATGGTAAGCCCACCAGAACAGTAAGTACTGCTGGATTCCCCACAGACATAGTGACGGGGTTACATACTTCTGTAATACACTTGCAGGGGCGCTGACATCTCCTTTGCTCCTTGACACTGATACATGCCTCGTGGGTCTTTGGCATTGTTTCCCAGATTCCATGTGTTTTTAGTTGCATTTGGGGGACTTATTCTGGTCCCATCTTTAAGCCACGTGATAGTCTTGTCATTTAAGCCACAAGTCAGAAGGACAGAACCGTCTCCTCGGTTGTCGTCCACTTTTAACAAATGCTTTGCTGAAAAGGGAAAAGTCGTGGCTCTGTTATGGGTCTTTGTAATTGACAGGAGAACATTAGAACACTGGGTTTTTTCTTCTTTCTTTCTCTCTTTCTTCCTTCCTTCCTTTTTTTTTTTTTAAGACAGGGTTTCTCTGTATAGCTCTGGCTATCCTGGAACCCACTTTGTAGACAAGGCTGACCTTGAACTCACAGAGATCCTCCTGCCACTGCCTCCCAGAACTAGGACTAAAGGGCATGCACCACTACTTGCTGGCTTCTCCAGCTGTTAATATGCACACAAATCACATGTGAATCGGGCTAGTATTTCAGGTCATATTTAGTAGTTCTGGGGGGTGGGATATCTGTTATTAACATGCTCCTGGTAGTGCTAACGCTGCTGTTTCAGTCATATTTTGAGACATACCTCGTTCCCAGAGTCCTGTTTCTACTGCAAGAACCAGATAATTCATTTCTTAGGTCTAGGAAAGCTGCCCAGAGTGAGTCCTAGTAGGACACTGATTTGGTTGATAATGGAAATGTCAAGTCTTCACCTCTTACCTCATCTTTTCAAAATTGTTCCCTTTCTAAATCATAAGACTATTGCTTTTTAAAAAAATGACTGTATGTGTATGTGTGTGTATGTGTGTGTGTGTGTGTGTGTATGAGTCTGTCACATATGTATAGGTGCTCAAAGAGGACAGAAGAGGGTGTGATATCTTAAAGCTGGAGTAACAGGCAGTTGTGAGCCGTCCCATGTGGGTGCTAGAGACTGAACTTAAGTCCTCTGGAAGAGTCCTCCTGACTGCTGAGCCAGCTCCTCCACCCCTGAGACCACTGTAGGAAGCCATACTTCTGTGGAGTTCCTCAGAATGTGAGAATATCGAGAAACCATTTCTCTTACCTTGATTTGTCTTGGCCACAGTGCCTGGAAAAAACAGAAGAAAAAGAAAGGATCAGCTGGGCACGGATTTGTTCTGATGGGCTAAGGTATTTGCATGACCATGTGAGGTAAAGCTTGAGGCAGACGCTAGTCAACGGCAATGACTGTATCTGCGTTTCTTTCCTGGAAGCAGCCCGAATTACCAAATCCAATTAAACATGACTATATTTGCTCTTTGTCCTACCTTTCTGGGTGGGGCTTCCTTCCTTCCTTTCTTCTTTCCTCCCTTCTTTCCTCTATCTTTCTTAAGATTTATCTTAGTTTTAGTTGTGTGTATCTGTGTATAGACATCAGAACAAGTCCATGTATGCACGAAAGTTCAGCTGCTTGTGGAGGCCAGAGGCCTATGATCCCCTGGAGCTGTAGTTGCGTGGTATAGATGCTGGTCTATACTACCTCTTTTGCAGAGGAACCAAGCTCTGGTCCTCTGCAAGAGCAGTGTGTGCTTTAAACACTTAACGTCTCTCTAACCCTTTGGGTAGGAGTCTCTAACCCTTTGGGATTTCATGATGGATGAACGTAGCTTTGCTGTTCATGGTAGACTCTTGGCTACCCCGACTTTATGCTAAGGAGATGTTTTGGAACGGGGCTGGTCAAGTTATCGAGATCAGTGGTTCTCCATCTTCCTAATCCTCTGATCCTTTAATGTAGTTCTTTACGTTGTGGTGACCCCCCAATTATGAAATTCAGGATATCTGATATGTGTCCCCTGTGAAAGGGTTGTTTGACCTCCAAAGGGTTTATAACCCACAGGTTGAGAACCACTTATCTGGAGAATTAAGATTTTGAAGCTGCTATTAATCCTGGCACTTACACAAATGCGTATGAAAGATACTAGAAGACTCCCTGATGCAGCTTTTATAAGTTTGTCATCTGTAGTAGGATGGGACTTTGCAGCGATACAGCTGTCTTGAGGCTACTCATATTTCTGCAACTAAACCCTCACCCTCTCTCTATGTAAGTAAGTCAACAAAGTTTATTGATTCACTAAGCTGGACTTCAGTGGAATTATTATTTCGATCTGTGTCAGTGGCCTACCTGAAGTGAATAGGTGTTCTCACCTCTCCTGGAAAAGTTAGCATAACAAATCGGCGTTCAAACATGGGTATAAGAGACTCAAAGGGTTCGGGAGGAACGGTTTCATGGCTCTTGCAAGGTACGCCACTGAGGTTGGGCCGTCTGAGGGTGGAAACATTACAGAAGCAATTCCAATATGGCCGCCCTTCTCCACTTGGAATGCAGCGATGTGTCTTTTTGCTGTGATGGTGGTTGTATGGGCCTTACTAAAGGTAGTAAGACATAGCTAAGGCTGGATCTTCAGAAGGTAGACTGTCCATGGGGGAGGTCCTGAGATGGCTACTTTATGGATTTAATAAAACTCATATAAATATGATAGAGAGGCTGAGCATGGTGGCACACACTTTTGGCCCCAACACTTGGGAGGAAAGGTATGAAGACCTCTGAAAGTTCGTGGCAGCTTGGTCTACATATTGAGTTCCAGAACAGCCAGGATACAAGAAATAAAAGAGAGAGGGGAGGGGGGGGGGGAGAAAGGAGAGGAGAAGAGAAATAATTGATTCTGCCAAAGAAAAAGAATTAGTAGAGAAAATGGCATTTGGCTATCCTTGAAGAACAAATAAAAGCTTACCAGATAGGGAAAGGCAGTTTAAGTAGGAAAAAAAAAGATCTCATTAAAGATACAGATTTTGGAACAGAATAGAGGGGTGGCGTGGCTAGAGGTTAGTGATGGGGAGCTAGTTGTTAGTCTGAGTATGATAGAAGTAGCTGGAAGCATTAACTTAAAACTTCTAGAGCAGGCTGATGCTGCTCACAGATGACACCAGCACGGTGCCTAGAACACAGGAAGAGCTTAATTTGAAGGGTTATGAAAGTGAACAGGTAAATGGACACAACTTAACAGTTGACTACATTATTATTTTAAAGATTTATTTTGTGTGAGCCTGGCAGTGATGATGTACGTCTTTAATTCCGGCACTTGGGAGGATCTCTGTGAGTTTGAAGCCAGCCTGGTCTAAGAGCTAGTTCAAGGATAGCCAGGGCCACACAAAGAAACCCTGTTTTGAAAATCCAAGACCAAAAAAAAAATTATTTTATGTATATGAGAGCTTGCACATGTATATATGTACTGTGTGCATGCCTGGTACCTGTAAAAGTCAGAGGAGAGCATCCCACTCTCCTGGAAATGGAGTTATAGACAATCTCGAGTCACCTCGTGGGTGCTAGGACTTGAACGCGGGTCTTCTGCAAAGGCAGTGAGTGCTCTGAAATGCCGAGCCATTTTTCTGTCCCCCAAACACATTACTTTTACTAGAATTTATCTCTAGTCACCTGGCCGTCCGTGTTCTTCTTCGAGTCAATAGGAAAAGAAGGGGCATTGGCAACATTGTTGGTGTTTGGATATTTGGGTGTGGTCTCCTGAGACTCAAGAGCCCAGGTAGCCAGCTATCCCATTGCCTGGTGTGAGGACTGAGCTCAGAGGGCAGTCTTGTTCATGTGCTCACAACTTACTGCTGAGGAGTGGGACTCCAGGCTTAGCTTTTCTATTGCTCAAACCACAGGTACTGTTTCCAGAAGCCTCTCTCTGGCTTTCAGTATTAAGCTCCAACCTGTACTTTCTAGCTTTTTTTTTCTCTCTCTCAGAGACTTCCCCGCTCTAGCCATCTTCTTCAAGTCTCTCACCCGACTGTCATGCATGTAGTTTCCGAGGCTCTTGCCTCTCTCCTCCTTGTTTTGAGAGCAGTGGTGCTGTTGTGGCCCTGTTCTTCCATTTCCTGTTCTGTGATGTGTACCCTTGACTCCGCCCATAGCTCTTTCCGACTTCTACTCCAGACCTTTGTTCTACGTAGCGTCATCTCCTTTAACTAAAGAATGTGTTCACCCATTTTTAAAATTCTTATACTCTATGTCTCTCCTACCCCATCTCTTCTGCCTCTCACGCAGATTCCTCCCTTCATGTTTGATTTCCCCCATCCACTCACGCCATGCTATTGAAACTGCTCTGATCACCCGTGAGATTCATTTTACCTTATTCCACAAATTTAAAATTTAAACATATTCTTATCTTTTTTTTTTTTGGTTTTTTTTTTTTTTTTTCGAGACAGGGTTTCTCTGCATAGTCCTGGCTGTCCTGGAACTCACTCTGTAGACCAGGCTGGCCTCGAACTCAGAAATCCGCCTGTCTCTGCCTCCCAAGTGCTGGGATTAAAGGCGTGCGCCACCACCGCCCGGCAACATATTCTTATCTTAGTGGATTACGTTCAACATTTTATACCATGTTTTGTTATTGTTTTGAGGCAGGGTTTCATATAATCTAGGGTGCTAGAATTTGGTATACAGCCCCGGTTGCCCTAGAACTCCTGACCTTCCTGCCTCCAGTTCCAGAGTACTGAGTTCAGATGCTAGTATACCCAGCAAACATTTCACCTCTCGATTCCTCTCGGGTCCAACACATCACAAAATAGTTTTATAGTTTCAAGAATTCGCCTTTAGTTAGGTACAGTGGTTTATGCCTATAACACCAGTACTTGGGAGGCTCAGGCAAATAAATTGCCCATGAGTTGGGAGCCAACCTGGGTTACACAGTAAGATCCTGTTAGAAAGGAGAGGAGGGGAGAACACTGTGATGACTCTGTATGTAAATGTCCTTGCTGCCAAACCTGGTGACCTGAGTTTGATCATACGCCCCACATAGTGGAAGGAGAACACCAGTTCCTTTGGGTTGCCCTCTGTCCTCCACATATGCACCATGGCATGAACATACACCCTCATACTTAAACACGAAACAGACAAACTAATATATAAAATACTTTGTATGACTTTGGCTTCTGCCAGGGTACCCAGGTGTTGGCCTAATTCACCTCCTTCCTGTTGGATATTTCAAACAGGCATTCCTATGCTGCACCTTGTACTCAGTGTGTCAGCATGGAAACTGACCTCTCCGGGCTCCGAACTCTTGAGAACAGGAAGCCCTTGTTCATCTTCTTTTTACTCTGGATAGTCTCAGCTATCTGGATCTCACCAGGCTTGTTGAGCAGCTAAGCAGCTTTGGAGACAAATGGTCCATAGGTCTACTGTATATATGCTTTTCTCCCAATTTCCTTATCTGGTGTGTGTGTGTGTGTGTGTGTGTGTGTGGTGTGTGGTGTGTATGTGTGTGTGTGGTATGTATGTGTGTGTGGTATATATGTGTGTGTGTATGTGTGTGTGTGGTATGTATGTATGTGTGTGTGTGTGTGTGTGTGTGTGTGTGTGGTGTGTGTGAAGGCCAGAGATCAAACTCCAGTGTCATTCCTAACCTGTTCCTTTTAGAGTGTATGTGTGTGATGTGTATGTATGTGTGTGTGTGTGTGGTGTGTGTATGTGTGTGTGGTATGTATGTTTGTGTGGTATGTGTATGTGTGTGTGATATGTATGTGTGTGTGGTGTGTGTGTGTGGTATGTGGTGTGTGTATATGTGTGTGTGTGTGGTGTGTATGTATGTGTGTGTGTGGTGTATATGTATGTGTTTGTATGTGGTGTGTATGTATGTGTGTGTGGTATGTATGTGTGTGTGGTGTGTATGTATGTGTGTGAGTGGTGTGTGTGTGTGTGTGGTGTGTGGTGTGTGTGTGTATATGTGTGTGGTGTGTATGTATGTGTGTGTGTGGTATATATGTATGTGTGTGTGTGATGTGTATGTGTGGTGTGTGGCATGTATCTAAATGACCTGAATGTGATGATTTCTCGAGGCTGGCTGTCCTACAAGAAAGCCTAGGAATCCATCATCAGCCTCTGCCACTGAGATGGTAAGAATGCGCCACACACCCTCATTTGCAGTAGGCTCTAGGGACTGAACTCTTGCATAGCAAATGCCTTACTGCTGCACCGGCTCTTTTCAGCTACTTTGAAGCCTAAGATGGCGGCAGTGAAATCCTCTCGCCAGCCAGTTTAGCCCACAGGCCCCTGTGCTTCTTTCTAGCACAGAACAGGTAGAGGCTTCACTTTTACCTCTCCTTCTTTGAATCCTAAGATGATGGGCGAAGATGGCTCAAGGTTAATAAGGATTCCAATAACCCTGTCTCCCTGCTCATGGCTTTGTCTCATGAACCTTCCCAATACGGTCAGACACTCGAGTAACCTCTTACCTTGAAGAAGAGAGATCAACAGGAAAAGGCCAACCAGACTCTTTCCCTGCTCCATGTCAGACTCTTTGCTTCTCCAGAAGAAGTGTCGAGAGTCCCTTAGCCACCCAGCCACCCAGCCACCCAGCCAGCCTGTGCAGCAGCTAGCCTGGCTCCGCCCAGCATCCGTTGAGCCGGGACTCTGAGTAGAGGCAATACCAGGTGTCCCCACCCTCTCCTGTAGAGTGTGGGTAGCAGGGGCCCTAGCAGGGGTGCTGATGCCCTGGCATATCTTTTGTTTTCTCTTTTGATGTTAAGGCTTGCAGGATAGCAGGTGGCAGGGAGTGAGAGTGAGGGCTCTAGATTTCAACTTGGAAACCCTTTTACCCCTAGAATCTCTATCCACAATGGATTGAAAATTCCTCTGAGCCTTTTTCTTCATGACAGTGATGAATGTCCCTGCCTGTCATTCTTGCTAGGTCTGGACTTGTTTGTCACTTGATCCCAGAACTCCCATGAGTTTAGGCAGGACTTATATGCGTATGGAGCTTGAGTTCTGAATGGAAAAGCATCTTAGAGTAGACCTTCGTTTAGAGATTTTTGTCACTGTTCTTTTGAGGACATCAAAGTGGTACACACCTGGAAAAGAATATCCCAATAGGATAACTAGCTTATTTCTTGGAGCATGGCCCTGGGCTAGTTTCAGAGTCTCAGGTTATTGTCTTCTTTAGCCAATCAACGTATAACAGAAACTCACAGAATTCCTGTGTGACACCAGTCACAAAAGAATAATTTTGTTCCCAGACAGATGACTTTCTGAGTATAGCAGTGTGGAAAGTCAGATCCCCACAGCCCATAGTAGAAAAAGTCTATTGTCTCCTGGGGAGGCTTGATTCTACAAATGAGTGGATTGTATCACTAAGAAGGCTTTCATACTGAGAAGGCTTGATGTGGAAGGCACCTTGCAAACACTCCTCCCCAAATCCCTAGACTGATGCTGAGGGAGACAAGCTCTGAGACACTCCATGCATGGCACCATGGGTAGGTACTATGTGCTGGACCTAGGATTCAAAATGGGAAGCCCAACATTTTCTTTGTTTGTTATCAGTGACCCAGGAAAGGCTACTCTAAATTCCCTTACACCTCCTAGAATTCGGAATGAACTTCCTTCATATTCTCTGCTTTGTCTCATCTCAAACTCTCTGATCTAGAAAGAGGAACTTGCACCTGTTTGTGTCTGACCCCAGCCCTAGCCCACTCTTCTCTTGACAGCCTTACATCATCAAAGGCAGAAGGTAGAGAGGCAGACTTCTTCTAGTTCCTCCCCCACTCTTCCTTTTTCTGAATACCCATGAGTCTGTTGGCGGAGGGTAGCGCTCACCCTGGCTGATCGTCCCGTGGCTTGCCTCTATTTGTTGGATGAGTTTCTCTGGAAGATGGATCACAGTGGGATCCTGGCTAGTCTAATACTGGCTACTGTTCTCCCCCAAGGTAAGTGAGCCATCTTCAGCTGTGTGGAGGATAGACCCTCGAAGGGCATTATCACTGGGAGAAGTCCATTGGAAAGTGCGTCTCAGTTTACCAGGCCGGGGAAGATAGAAGGACGATGCTAGGGTGTAGAAAACAAGCATTTGGCTCTGACCTACTCCAGCTAAGGCTCACACTGGTATTAATGGTGTCTCCAAACTCCTTGGATGAGACATCTGTAGGAAATGGTTCCATATTGTGTGTCCCTAGCCCTAAGACTAGTAAAGGAAGAAGTTAAACCCATTGCACCATCTAAGGCAAATAGCAACTTGGAGTAGGATTCTTGGTCAAGTGACCACTGGAGCCACAGCTCCGAATTTAGGAGCAATCTTTAAAAGAAAAGTTAAGTTTTAGCTGAATGGGAAGGACAGGGGGAGGGTGTGTTATATTAAAGTCGGTAAGTGCTAACTCTTTCTCAGTTTGTTTGCTTTTAAAACAGGAAAGTGGGCTGGGTAGACAGCACAGGGGTAGGTCTCTAGGAGTGCCAAAATTCCAAACCAAATAAACTCCAAAATAACCCTGCAACATTCACATCTCAGAGCTCAGGGGTCCCAGGAAAACTGGGTCAAATGGTTACTCTAAGAGCTGTCCTGGCCACCAGAGATTTCTACCGGAAGTAACTCCAAAGAAGACGGGACTTTAAGAGGAGAAGAATTATATACACCCGTCTTCTCTAGCATGCTCCTGTATATTCCTGCTTCAGAGGGAGGGGCAGCCATTTTGGCATTTTCTGGAGGATGCTCTTGTGTTCAAATGGGTGACTAAGTAACGAAGCCCAGTGACACACAGACTCCAGGTGAGGTTGGCGTTAGACATAAGGCATGGCAGTGCCCTCTGGGCTGTGAGGATGTTCTCAGGCTGGCTGGAAAGGCCCACTGTGCTTATTTCTGGCTCACACCCCTCCACCTCTCCCTCTTGCCATATATGGAGCCCCAGGAGCAGCTTTGATATATGTCAGTGGTCCTTTCTCCTTAAGCAAGCGTGGCAAAGACAGTAAAAATTATAGGAGCACAGGAGGGACAGGAACTGCTCACCCCAGAAACTAGTTAAAGCCTCTCACTAGCTGTTTGAGAATTTCAGCACAATTAATGTTTGCTGTGTAAGTTGCCCACACACCACTCTCTTCCAATATGGATATTTTATGTTAAAATAGCAACAAGCCAGGCCTAATGCCTGAGTGTATATGACCTTGGGCAGGGCCTCAGTCTTCTCTAGAACATTTTCTAAGACCCTCACAAATAAGACTACTTTCTTTGTTTACCGTGAGGATCTCCTGCCTCTGGTACCCCCAACTCTAAACATTTGCTCGATCAGTTGGAATCCTGTTTGATGCCATACCTACCACTCTGTGAACTCATTCAGGTATCTTAGCAGCTCTGGGGATAAGAACTTCAAAACCGACCAAAACAGTGTATACAGCTATTGTAAAGATGGTACATCTCTCTTTTGGGAAGCCATTCTGGAGTGCCTCTCTTAACACTCATGCTTAAAATCTATATTAAAATATCCTTATGTTAATATGATATAAATAAATTATATTAAGATAAACCCAGTTCATCTTAAAGTTTTCTGTTCAAAGAGAAGATCTGGGTTTTACTTGAGTTAAGTTTCCTCAAAGATTAAAGAAACCCCTCAGGCTGTTGCTAGTGACCGTATCTGTGTCCCAGCTGCCTCTGACAGAACTACCGAACTATTTTTTTTTGTGTGTGTGTGTGATGGGAATCTCACCCTGTAGCCCAGGCTGCCTTGAAATTCATTACGTAGCCTAGGTTGACCTTGCTATCTCAGGCCTTTTCCGTTTTCAGTCTTCCAAGTGATGAGATTTCCAGATGTAAGTCACTCTGTCAATATATGTATATGTACGTATATGTGTATGCATATGTATATGCGTATGTGTATGTATATATAACTATATGCAGTGCTGGAGATCACATCTAGGGCATTTCGTAGGTCTCTCCCACTGAGCTATGTTCCCAGCGAATCTTCTTACATGGGATTTACCCTGGGAAATCTGGATCACTGGGCTGGTAATTCATTATAGCTCCTCTCTGCCACAGGGCTCACTGGCCTGGAAAACTCTTTCATAGTGAGCGCCTCAGCACCCTGGCAGATACTGGGACAGAGACAACAGAGAAGAGGATGAAAAGTTCCAGTGAGAGAGTTATTGGCCAGGAAGAGGAATTAGAAGCATAAGAGGCACACTCTCCAGGCTAAGAATATCCCCTGCTTCTCAGGTCTCTTGGGGACCCCAGTGGTCTCACCGGTGGTCTAAACTTAATTTCTGGAAGGTTCTAGGCTCAACACAGCTTCATGGTTTTTGTTTTTTACCCCCAAATCCCTCAGGACCTGTGTCCTACTTTGAATTCTGTTGTTATAATAAAATACTTTGCTCAGAAGCAACTTATGGAAGGAAAGGATTTATTTGGTTACAATCTCAGGTCAGTCTAGCATTCAGGGAAGTCAGGTCAGAAACTCAATCGGGAGTGCAGAGTAGCAATCATGGAAGAATGTTCTTTCTGGCTCCCTTGCTGGCTCATGCGTACACTGCTAGCTTTCTATACAGCCCAGACTCTCAGGGAATCGTGCCATCCACAGTGGTCTGGGCTCCTCCTGCACCAAGTAAGGCAATTAAAACAATCTCTTATAGAACAATGAGCTGCCTATGCTCCAGAGAGTTGCCTCTGACTCTGGTATCTTCCATCTCAGGGAGCCCCTTCAAGATAGAAGTGACCGAATACGAGGACAAAGTATTTGTGAATTGCAACACCAGCGTCATGCATCTAGATGGAACTGTGGAAGGATGGTTTAAAAAGAATCAAACAGTCAACTTGGGCAAAGGCATCCTGGACCCACGAGGGATGTATCTGTGTAATGGGACAGATGAGCTGGCGAAGGAGATGTCTACTGTTCAAGTGTATTACCGAAGTATGTGCTTGTGGACTCACTGGGATGAAATCATGGGCTCTGTGCATGTGGGAGCATTCTGGCTAAAAGCAGGCTGTGGTGAACCAATTTACATAGTGGTATGAACCAGATGTGTTGGGGAGCACGTCAGAATTGGGGAGAGTTTAACTAAGTAAGGCAAAACAGTAGGACCGGGCTTGTTACTGCTGACCCAGGGAAGGGCTTAGTCCACTCTTCAGTTAAAGCCTCACAAAGCTGAAGTGTGTCATGTCTCTCTTCAGCAATTCCTTGGGATAAGAGCAGAGATGGAAGTCACTGTGAGCAAGATCTTTACAGTCTCACTGACTTCTGCGTCTTGGAACGAGTGGGCGGGGAGCGTAGGGTCTTTCTAGGACCAGAGATGGTTCTATGACCTTGATCACTCTCTTCCTCCTCTCCCCAACAGTGTGCCAGAACTGTGTGGAGCTGGACTCGGTCACCATGGCTGGTGTCATCATAGCTGACCTCATCGCGACTCTGCTCCTGGCTTTGGGAGTCTACTGCTTTGCAGGACATGAGACCGGAAGGCTTTCTGGGGGTTAGTTAGTGGAAGGGCTGTCTCTCTCTCTCTCTCTCTCTCTCTCTCTCTCTCTCTCTCTCTCTCTCTCTCTCTCTCTCTCTGTGTGTGTGTGTGTGTGTGTGTGCTCATGAACTGGCTGAAAGATGGGGGATGGTGGTAGGGCTGTCACCCTCTGGAACTTTCTCTGACAATGTCTTAGGGACTCATACTACAGGGCGCTGAAACCCTGTGATTCTCATGTAGATTTCCGAGGGTGACTTCGGAGCCTACCCAGCCCTGCAGCGTTCATAGGTCTCAGTGTCTCACCTTCCCTAGCTTCCAATGACTCTCTATCCTTGCTTCTAGCTGCTGACATTCAAGCCCTGCTGAAGAATGAGCAGCTGTATCAGGTAAACCCTGAGGGAGGCGACAAGAGCAGGAGAAGGGTGTGAGGACTAAGAGATCCGACAGTAGGGGTAGAGAGATGTGCCGGGAGTCCTGAGGGTGGGCGAGAAGGCGGGGTCGGCTTATCCCTGGATGTCTGGAGAAGAGTTCTCAGTATGACTCGGTGTCCTGCCTTTCATCTCAGCCTCTTCGAGATCGTGACGATGCCCAGTACAGCCGTCTTGGAGGGAATTGGCCCCGGAACAAAAGATCTTGAGATGGAGGTTTCTCACAGTGCCATATCAACGGTGCCTTCCCCCACTGTGCTCAACCAATAAAGATGTGTTCCTTCAGTCAGCAGGCGCCTGTGTTTTCCAAAGCATGGGGCTGAGCGTTGTCCTAGCTTGGATGAGCTCTGCCCACCTGTGGCCCCCCTTTAGCAAGAGGAACCCCTCTCCTCAGACCCAGACAGGCAGTAGGAGGGACAGCTTCCCATCCTGGCCCTTTGGCATTTCTAACCCTGTGGGTTTCCTGTGGGGAGGGTCAGCTCAGCCACTCTCCTTCATATGCCTGTTGGTTCCAGTCCCTATCATAACGACTTCCGGGGTTTTGCTGCCTTACCACAGCCCAGAGCAGGTTGCGGTGTTTAGATGCTGAGCCACAAGGAAGTTTCCATGACATCATGAATGGGGGTGGCAGAGCAGAGCAGAGTACTGAGACTCAGAGGGCGTGTGTGTGTGTGTGTGTGTGTGTGTGTGTGTGTGTGTGTGTGTGTGTTTGAGAGAGAGACAGAGACAGAGTCAGACAGAGAGACAGAGATAATGCTGTCAAGAATTTTCTTCTCACCACGTGGGCTCTGGGGATTGCACTGAATTCATCAGGTTTGCGTGGCAAGCACTCTTACCCACTGAGCCATCGTGTCTGCCCTCACCCCCAAATTAATTCAAAATAAAGAACATAATGAATTCCAGGTGTTTCTGTCAGTGTTGCCTGTCGTGCATTGTAAGACTTCATTCAGCTTTGATCCTGAATACACAGTGTTTGCTCTAGACGCCTGTCCATTGCCCGACCACCCGGCAGCAACAACTCTTGCCTGAACCTCCTTGGCTCAGGCTTGGAACTCTTGCGTGCTGTGTTACCAGTTGTGCTTTTCTTGTCATACACACAGGGTTTCCTGTTGTTGTAGAAACACAGTGGTTTCGTATGGAAACAAAGACTTCTAATATTTTCCCACCCTCCCTCAGCATGTAAGGATCAAATTCATACACCCTGGTACTATATTAGAATGCTTGATTTTCAAATTGTTTGAATTGCTGGTTGAATTTCAAAGAGAAACGTTAAATGAGTTTTTGCTTGAGATTAGCACAGAAATTCCAACAAATTTCGGAATAACGCTAAGCATATGTTGCTATTTTGTGATACATATTTATACAGATTAGTGTTCTCAGCATTGACAAAAATAGTTTTAAAAAAATTGAAGATTGAGTTTCATGTAGCCTAGGGTAGCCTCAAACATATTATGTAGCTAAGGATGGCTTGCAGCTGTTACTTTATAGTGTTAGAACTACAAACACGTATCACCACGCCTGGTTTTTGCAACAGTGTGGATCAAACACAGGACCTCATGCGTACTAGGCAAGCACTCTACCAACTGAGATACATTCGCAGCTCTAAAAACCAGAAATACTGATCAACTCTAAAAACTGATGATGCTATATGCCCTTTGATATAAAATATTCAGCCAAGATTTATTTCTTTATTCAGAAAAAACCAAGCATATTTATCTTCCATGTTAAAAATAAGATTTATCTTTATTTTGAATGATATGTTCGTGTGTGTGCATGTGAATGCAATGCCATCAGAGGCCAGAAGAGGATGTCAGATCCCCCAGAGCTGGAATTATAGGTGATTGTGAGTTTCTTGAAGAGGGTCCTGGGAACCAAGCCCAGTTCTTCTGTAGGAGCAGTAAGTGCTCTTAGTCACTGACCCAGCTCTCCCCTCATCTTTTACCTGTAATAAATGGTAACACACACACACACACACACACACATACACACACACACACACACACAGATACAGCCTCCCATACACCACACATGCACCCCCACATGCCCCCCACACCCCCACACCCCCACACACCAAAGAATTGTTTTAATTTTTGTAATTAAAAAAACATTTGCATGTGCCACACAAACATGTAACGGTCAGAGGGCAACTTCCAGGAGTTGATTCTTTCCTTCCACCGTGTGGGTTCTGCGGGAATCTATCTTCAGAACTGACAGTATACTCCTTTATAAGCTGAGCCATCCTGCTAGCCCCTGAAATTGTTTAAAAATAGAAATGCAATGATTTCTTGTCGGTAAATAGTTGATTTGTATACCTATTTATGTAGGGTTGTGTAAAATTTTCCTAAGCAAAAAGGCATCTGTCTTGAGTAGAAAAAAAAGTGTAAGAAGCCCTGAAATATTTTCTTTATCTTGTTATTCAAGGATTGTATTAGTTTAATTTAAGCTATGAAACTTATGGACCTTAAAGTTGTCATACTGTTATGGACTTGCATAATTTTAGCCATCTATCTATCTATCTATCTATCTATCTATCTATCTATCTATCTGAAACAAGCTCTCTTTATATAGCCCTGGCTGGTTTGGAGCTTGCTACAAGGCCTAAGCTGGCCTTGAACTCTCAATCTGCCTTTCCCTCCTTCCAAAGTATTGAGATTACTGTAGTGTCCTGTCACACCCAGCTTTATTTCATCTTTGCTCTCTCCCAGTTCAGATGTTGATGTTATTAGCAGTGGAGTCTCTGGGAGAGGCTAGATCCTGAGGACAGAACCCTTCCAAATGGTATTAGTGCCTTTACCAAAGAGGCTTCTGAGCCAGTGCTTGTCTCTTCTGCCATGGAACTTCCAGCTCTTCCCAAGCCTTGTATTATGAAGTTAGAGCAACTTTTCCCAGCCCTGATAGATGCAAAGCTTTCTCCCTATCCTTTCAAGTCCGTTGCTTAGTCTTCAGCTGGAGATGAGAAGGGCTCCTCTTCGGGTCTTTGGACTCCCATGCTCTCCTAAAACATTCTTCTTGTTTCTGAATCCCACTGAATCTACAGCCTGCTGTCTTTGTGAACTGACATTCCTTGAAGAAGCTGCATCTGTGTTGAAGATTCTGAAGGCTGATTAGAGCTCCGTGGTTGTGGAGACTCGGAATGCTGCAGGACTAGAGCCACCGTTATCCTGGCCATCAGTGGTTCAGAAGCTTCTGCCAACCCCAGAACTAAGAAAGTCATCAGCTTGGATCTGAAATCCAGAGATTCCTTGTAATTTGCCTACCTGCTATTCCTTTTTTTTAAAATGATTTTTATTTATCTTATTATGTATGTGAGTACATAGTCTCTGTTCTAAGATACACCAGAAGAGGACATCTGATCACATTACAGATGGTTGTGAGCCACCATGTGGTCGCTGGGAATTGAACTCTGGACCTCTGGAAGAGCAGTCAGTGTTATTAACCACTGAGCCATCTCTCCAGCCCATCTACCTGCTATTCCTACAAATGTACTTGGCAAATGCATGCATCTAGGAGTTTGTTTTATGACTACAAAGGAGTGGTAGTGACTGTCAGGGACTTGGTGGGTAAGAGTGCTTGGTGTGCAAGCATGAGAGCCTGAGTTCAAATCCCCAGCACCCATTTGAAAAGTGGAGAATGGCTATGGCAGAGACAGGTGGATCCCAAGAGTGTCTGGCCAGCCTGTCTTAAGGCAATTAGGTGGTGTATGAGAGATGGAAACCCTTGATATCCTGCTCTGGACTTCATGCCATGCGTTAGCACAGTTTTCGTAGTGGAACAGGGCAACATAGATCAATGCTCAGGGGTGTGGCATTCATATTTGACTCAGGATAATTGACTTCTTTATTTTTTTTCATTTAAAAAATTTATTTTATTTGGTTTTTGAGACAGGGTTTCTTTGTGTAGCCCTGGCTACCCTGGAACTCATTCTGTAGACAAGGCTAGCCTTGAACTCAGAGGTCCACCTGCCTCTGCTTCCTGAATGCTGGGATTAAAGGTGTGTACCACCACCACCTGTCAAAAGATCTAATGTTTATTTGTGTCTTTATGTGTGTAAATTGCATGTGTGTAGGTGCCCAAGGAGACAGAAGATGGTTTCAGATTCTTTGGAGCAAGTTACAGGTAGTTATAAGTTGTCTCACAAGGATGCTGAAATAGGATTCAGATGCTCTGACAGAGCAGCAAGTACTCTTAACTATGGAGCTATCTCTCCAGGTCCTGTCCCTGCTTTTTCATTTTTTTTAAAAGTATGTGCACATGGGCACACGAGCATACATCTCATGGTGCACATGTGGAGGTCATGTAAGGGCTAATGTTACGTTTTAAATTTAAATTGCTGTGCTAACCTGTAAGTCCCAATTGCTCGACTTCCTGAAATGCTGGGGGTTGTTGTTCACATAAGATAAGCCATGAGATTTTGCTTCTGTGAACAAGCTTGGTTGCCCCAGCTGCACAGGAGGTGCGTAATCACATGCAGGTGAGACATCTATAGGTAAGAAGTATGTCAGGATATATGCTTCCTCCTGATTGGACAAAAGTAGGAAGTATGTAGCCTTGTGGATTTCGCTTTTATAAGCATATGATTAATATAATTTGGGGTCATAGTCTGGGAATATTGGGTATGGACCTGATCAGTATTCATCGACCTGGCCAGTATATAATAAAACTTGCTTCAGATTTGGCTCAAAATCTGTGGTAGTAGTCTTATTCTCACTTGATGAATTAATATTTTCTGGATGCCCCAGCAAGATCAGACCACTCATCCAAATTCTAAAGCCTGACTCTTACCTTGGGACTTTAGGGCTGAAGGGCCACCTCAGGAGGTGCCCACTTCGAGATGTTCGAAGGCTCTGAGGTGCGCTTTCAGTTTCTTGGACTGTTAGAGTGAACTGCCATGCAAAGAAAAACAGCAAGCATCTATGGAGGCCTCCCCTTGTAAGTTAAACTAATTTTCTGTGACATCTGGTTCTGTTGGGATTCCAATCTGGGGTGAGCAGGCATTACATGGGTCCTAAATATTCTCTCATCCAGGTCAAAACGTGAGATGTTGCATCTCACTGAGGTTCTTGGTCTGGTTTTGTGTCTTGTCTTTGCAGAAGTTCTGTTGCAAGCATGGGAGTCAAGATGGAAATGGACCAGGTTCAATTGAATGTATGAATGATGGTGGCCACTGCATGGTTTGCTTCTGACTTGTCTCTGTTGAGTGTATGAGCTTTCTGTTTCTGTGTTGATTGGTTTTGTTGTCCTTGTCACTGCCTGATGCCAGCCTCTGACACTGCTGCTGCTTACCATGGC